GGAGCGATAATCCTAGGATGAGAAGAGGAGGAAAGAGAAGAGCAGGAAGGAGCAGCCACTAGCGAAGAAGGAGGGGATGCGTCACAGGTGCCTACGGAGGAGTTAGGCAGGGGGAAGAGGGTGAAGAAGCCGAATCCAAAGTATGCACAAATTCTCATAACCGGATGCAAAGACATTCATTCCCATCTGCTGCTCACTACCACTGCAACAGCCTTAGTATCACAAGGGAGTAGAACGGCAAAGGATCTGCCAGAGGAGCCGGTCACGATAGAGGAGGCTGTGAGAGGACCGAACAAGGAGCAGTGGCGGGCAGCCATAGAAGAAGAGCTTCATACGCTAGCAGAGAGGGGAACCTAGGAGTTAGTGCCACTGCCAGGAGGGAGGAAAGCAGTGGGGGTAAAGTGGATATTCAAGATAAAGACAGGAGACTTGGGGCAGTTGGAAAGGTTCAAGGCAAGGCTCGTAGCAAAAGGGTATACGCAGGTAGAAGGCGTCGATTACACCGATACCTATACGCCCGTAAGTAGACTTACCACAACTAGGACGCTTTTTGCAGTGATAGCAGCAAGAGATTTTCATCTGGTACAATTAGACATCAAGAATGCCTTCTTATATGGCGAGCTTCACGAGGACATTTATATGGAGCAGCCGCCGGGTAGAGATGATGGAACAGGACGGAAGTGCCGGCTTCTGAAAGCGCTACATGGGCTGAAGCAGAGTCCTCGCGAGTGGTATAGGGTAATGGATAGGAGGCTACTCCAAGGAGGGTTTCAGAAGAGCGAGTGTGACAGGGCGTTCTATTGGAGAGGAGAAGGGAAGGAGAAGGTGTTCCTTCTCCTATATGTCGATGACATATTGGTGGCAGGAGCGACAGAGGAGGATGTGGAGAGCGTGTGCGCTCATCTAGCAGAGGTTTTTCCGGTGAAGCGGATTCCACGTGCGTCATTGTTCCTTGGGATGAATCTGGAGCGGAACAGGGATGAGAGGCAATTGATGATGAAGCAGAAGAAGTTTTTCCATCATCTTCGAGATAAATTTGGAGATCAGAATAGTGCTAGGAGGATTTCCACACCTTTGAGTACTGCAGCAGCACAAGGGGTAGACACCGAGGCTGAGTTAGTCCGATGGGGAAGTCGAGAGGTTGCGCTTAGGCAGTACCAGTCGATGGTGGGCTCGGTGATGTACCCAGTGGCATGCACGAGGGTCGATTTAGATTACGCAGCTAGCTATCTTGGACAGAACGTGCAGCAAGCAGATGGACGGAAGTGGAAGGAGATGGAGCGAACGATTAGTTACCTCCTACAACACGAGGACGAGGGACTATTCTTTGAAGGAGGAGAGGAGTCTTTGCAGCTTGTAGGGTATGCAGACGCTTCACACACTTCAGATCAAGAGACTAGACGAGGAGCTTTTGGGTACGTTTTCGTTTTGGGTGGAGCGGCAATCATGTGGCAGGCCAAGAAATTGGCAGACATCGCTTTGTCTAGTGCTGAAGCTGAGTATATGGCACTCTTCTACGCATGTTAGGAGGGAGTTTGGTTGAGGCGTCTACTCAAGGAGCTAGATCTTAGGCCAGAGGGTCCGACCATCATCCGGACGGATAGCCAGTCAGCAATGGACCTAGCTCGGAATGACGACTAGCATGGACGAACAAAACACATGGACGTTAGGTATCACTGGGTGCGAGAGCAGCTGGCAAACAAGAGTTTCAGGTTCGAGCATGTGAGAACAGAACGACAGCCAGCTGATTTCTTGACAAAGGTCCTACCTAAACCTCGTTTCCGGCAGTGTAAGAGAGAGGTAGGGTTACACACGTAACTTGAGTGAGCAAGCCGCAAACCACAGGGGAGGTTGTTGGAAGTGGTTCGCGCTTGCCCCTAGTCAACGCGTGGCAGCATGGCGTAAGCTAGGTGGCAGTATGGCAGCGCTAACAAGTGGCGTAAGCTGAAGACTACATATGGGTGTGCTAGGTGGTGAGGGGCTGCAAGGTTACGTGTTGGAAGGAGGAGATGTTTGGGACACGCGGAGGACTTGTGAGTGACGAGCAGCAATTGGTACAGTGACGCGGTGTTCGGAGGAGCAGAAATGCGGTTCGGTTACATTGTGTGAAATGCGGTTCGGATGTGCGCCACGCAATGTCATGTGGCTTAGGAAATTTTGTTTTCCATATGAATCTGTCTCTTTGTATCTCTTTGTATATAGTGAATCTGGAAATTCTCTCTCACGTCGTGCTGCTTGTTTACAACCAGAACTTGACTGGTGGTGTAAAGACTACCCTTAGTACTAGCACAAGTGCTGTCGGGAGTCGGTTTGGAGTGTAAGAACGACCTGAGAGCAGCGAGAGCGCTGCCGGAATTTCTAACACATGGCATGGCGCTACGCGCAAAGGAAGCATGCAGCAATGGAGTGGCTTCCTCATCCTCTCGCGCTTCCCGCTTCCCGCATCCCGCCCCTCCCACTGCCGCGTGCCTCCCAGGAAGTGGCGGGCTGGCGGCGGCTGCGAGCGCTTTCGCGAGCGATTCTCGTCGCAGGTGCCTCTGGAGCTGCGCGACGACGACCCTGCCGCGTGGCCGCCCAACCCCTCCCTGCAGGTCTGCCACTCTCTCCGGCTCTCTTCTGCTGCCGCTGCACCCCGCACATCCATTCACTCTCCTGCTGCCGCTGCACCCCACCCATGCATTCACTCTCTTGCTCCACCCCCTCCCCTCCCCTCTCTCCACAACCCCCCCTCTACCCCCTTCCCTTTTCCTGCCAGCCCGTGTTGCCGCCCGACTGTGCGCGGGTGCAGCGGCAGCATGTGGGCGTGCTGGTAAAGCCGCCCTTCACGTGGTTCTGGGAGGGCTTCGACCGCCAGCACCTCGAGGGCACGCACTCCTGCCACTGCCGCCTCACGTGCACTGTGAGTGGGGCCAGGGGCTCACTGCACTGTGAGTGGGCATGCATGCCCTGATGAAGATTGCAAAAGTGCTGCTCTGGCCGCAGGTCGTTGTACGCTGGTTCAGATGCGCGCTGTACGCTGCTGTACGCTGCTCTACAATACGCTCTCCACTCCCGTTTCCTCATCATTTCTCGCTCCCTCCCCTCTCTTTCTCGCCGCGCAGTTCTCCTGGGAGCCCCAGGCGCTGCCTAATCCCGACGTGCTGCTCTTCGTGCGGCAGTACGGCCCGCTCAAGAAGAAGGAGCAGAGGGGTGAGTGCACGTGTTCCACACTGTCGTGCCACATGGACAGGTATGGCTCGCGTGGCCGCACATGGCATGCAATCAATGCAGTGCAATTGAGAGAGCCGCAGCTCCCTGTGGCGTGGCCTCATTGCTGCTGCTGCTGACGCCACGGCCGCCACGGACATAGTGCCACAATTTGGTGTGGCTCCACTGCCTCTCGAGCACCCGCCACCACTCTCATTCTTGCCACTGGATTGCTGCTTCCTTTCCTCACTTCCAACCCGCATGCCTTTCTCGTTCCCCCACCCTCCGTTCTCCCTTTCCCCTCTCCCCCCCCCAGCCATGGACGCCCTCACCGCCCTGCCCGCCCACGAGCGCCCGCTGCTGGCGCTGCTGGACCTTGAGGCGGCCCCTGATGGCGCGGTGGTGCCGGGGCGGCACATCTTCTCGCCGTGGGTGCCGATGGAGCAGCAGGCGCGGTGGGACCTGCTGGTGGGGTACCACCGCGACTGCGACGTGCAGGTCACCTACGTGGGTGTGACCGACAACGATGCACGCAAGGACCTCGTGTCGCCCATCAAACTCGCCATGGGTGCCCCGCATGGCCACGTGCCCCATTTCACTCTCCGCAACTCCTTGCTGCTACCACGCCCCCCTCCCTCCCACCCCTCCCTTGCCCGCGTCTTCACTCTCATATCCTTCAGTTGCCTGCCTTGTGCACGCTTTCTTTGTCCGTTGTCGACTCTCCATTTTCTGTCACTGTGTTTGGTTTGCTCCTAAGAGATTGGCGCGTGTTGCCTTTGCATGCTCTGTGTGTGCTGCCTCCCATCCATCCCGCCTGCACCACCCCTGCAGGGCGTGCCGCTGTACCGCGCAGGGTCGCACTGCACGGTGAAGTGGCGCGAGGCCATGGTGAAGGACATTCTGCACGTCGTGCGCCACCACTCGTTCGGCCGCTGCCAGTTCAACATGCACAGCATCTCAGAGCTCGTCGCTCACCCCACGTGCCGGTAGGGGGTGCAGGTAGGGATGTGGGAAGGGGTACGGGTGGGGGTATGGGTAGGGGCTGGGGTGCACCCCACATGCTGCAGGTACCTTCCCATCTCCTTGCCTCCCTTGTCTCTCCCCTCTCTCCCCCACTGCCCGCCCCTCCCTCCCCCTGCCACCCCGCCACCTGTGCTTGGTGCGCAGGACGGGCGTGGACAAGTGGATGGCGCGCATACACTGTGTGGAGTCATGGTACAAGTTTGCCATCGCGGTGGAGAATAGCGAGAGGGAGGGGTACGCCACCGAGAAGCTCTTCATCCCCTTCGACGCCGGTCAGTGGCCACCTCGCTGCCCTGCGGCACACACAAGCTCCAAGCACGTGCGACCTAGAGCACGCCACGATTCTTCCTTTTCATCATTTTCCTATCAGCCCCTCCTCATGCCCTCCCCTTCTTCCTCATGCCCTCCCCTTCTTCCTCATGCCCTCCCCTTCTTCCTCTCACTGCATTCTTTCCCTCCCCATTCCCCCAGGCACGGTGCCCGTGTACTACAGAGCTCCGGATGTGGCGCACGTAGCGCCGCCCGGGTCGTACATTGACCTGCGGACGTTCCCCAACAGGACGGCCGTGGGCGACCTCATCAACCGCCTCGACGCCAACGCCAGTCAGTCCCCGCCCTCGCACCCCCTGCCGCTGCTGTGCTCTGACCCGTCTCCCAGAAGCTGCAAGTGCGGTGCCTGAAGCGGCCTCACTCATGTCAGCCCTCCCTCTGTGCAACTGCTCCACAACCTACTCGCCTTTCCCACACCTCTCTTTCTCCACGCCCCTCTGCCCCTGCGTGCCCCCTGGCAGCACTGTACCTGGACTACCATGCATGGCGCATCTGCAACAGCAGCGGCAGCCTCAAGCACGCCGCCGCCCTCTCCATCCTCACACTGCCGTGCCGCCTCTGCCTCAAGGCAGCCCTGCTGCTCGCGAAGAGGCAGACAGCAGCTGCTCCAGGGGGGGCGCCTTTCCCTTCCTCCTCCCCCCCCTCCTCTGCCTCGCCTTCCCCCTCTGCTGCTCCTTCTTCCGTGTCGCCTCCTGCTCCTCCCATCTCCCCCCCATCATCTCCCCCTGCTGGTCCTCCACCCACCGCTGCGCCGCCTGCTTATGCGCCGCCCCCTGCTCCTCGTTCTCCATCACAACCATAACCCCTTGCTCTCGCACCTCCATCGCTGCCTGTACGGTTTCCCAGCATGGTTCCTTCACAGCTGCAGTGAAGTGCATTGGGCAGGCCGTTCATCCCCACCACGCCAAGCGGGCCTTCCTCGGCAGGGTTGCCTCCATGCCATTCTTCCTTTCTGCCATCGCCATGCAGCATCGCGTCCTTCCTTCAGTCCACCGCCATGCCATCCCATCCATTCCTCTTTTTTAGGTCAGCCCTCCCTTGTGCTGCCCTGCTTGCTGCACATGGCCAAGACCCAGGAGGTTATCATCAATGGGGTTAGAGGGAGGTGAACCAATCAAGTTTCAAGAGGGAGATTTTATGGGCATTGGGGAGCATTGGAACATTTTCTGGAGGCGAGATAGAGCTCTCGTGTAGTAGACAATGTCATGTCTATATTATATGCAATATACCATTTTAGTGACTACCAGACGCTCATTTTATTCTAGTTACTAGGTTCCCACGTATATGAAGAAGTGCTTGGGCACGTCATTTGTCGTCAGTAAGAAGCTTCGCGCGAACGGGGTCTCTCTAACCTCTGAACCACCCGCGCTGCCAGGCGTGTGTCGTGAGTTGCGATGTTGGAAACCAACCGCATGGCTTTTTGCACTTCAGTACGAGCTGTTGCTGATCACGCCCATCCTAGTCAACCTTCCACCTCTGCCAATCCGCCACCTCGCTGCGCCTCCTGTCGCTCTCTCTCGCCCGTCGTTGAGAAAAACGCGCGCACACATCCCATCCCATCTCGTCCCCGTCGTTTCTCCCGATCGCTCTAGTCGCTCTCGTCGGTCGCATCTATGTCCATCGCAGCGGCGTCGGCAAGACGCCATGTGCGATGGCAGGCGATGCTGCAGCAGTCGCAGCTGATCGCCCAAGGATCGTTCTTTCGCAGACCTGTATTGGACCGGTCGTTCCTGACGTCGCTCGACCGCTTGCACGACCATGCCGTGCACACCGCCCCCTCTCCCTCGCCCCACTCCCCCATTTCCCCGCCATTCTCCCCGCCCCACACACCTCTAGCATCCGCCACTGCTACCGGCGCCACGCTCCTCCCCTGCGCCTTAGCGCCGTCGGCACTCACGCTATTGCCGTTACAAGGTCGATTGGCGCCAGCTTACGATGCCGCCCGGCTGAAGGATCGCAGATCAAGGGACTCGGCTGCTCATGTCATTTCGACGGTAGCGGCCGGCCGAATGATGCCTGGCCGTCAGCCGTCACCAGCAAGCTGGCAGGTTTTCCCCCAACTTGCGCGCGCTCTGCAAGGCGTCAGCCTGCGCGTTGGTGCTGCGCGGCTAGCCTCTGGGCGCTCCGAGGGGGAAGCGGCTAGAAGCAGCGCGGAAGGGGCGAGAGAAGTGGAGGGGGAGGGGAAGGCGAGGGAAGGCGGGGAAGACGCTGGCAAGGGGGACGCAGGGGGCAGCGAGGAGAGCGAGCACGGTGGGCGCAGCAGCAGTGGCGGCAGCAGTGGTGGGCGAGGGTTGAGATCAGGGGTGAGTGGTGGCGCGCACGGCTGCACTCCCATGCCACTGGCCCCCCTCCGCCCCTTCTCTTCCCCAACACCGCCACTCCTACTCTCTGCTGCGGGCCACCCCTGTCCTGCCTGTTCCACGTGTTCTCCTCGCCCCCCCACCCCTCCCCCCCGCCCCTCTGCAGCCGGTGACGTGGGCGAGTCTGGCGCTGCTGCTGCTGACTGGGGGCGCGCTGCTGACGTACTTCGAGAGCGAGAAGCGCAAGAGGCTGGAAGGTGAGAGCGAGAAGCGCAAGAGGCTGGAAGGTGAGAGCGAGCGTGAGTGTGCAGCACAGAGGTGTGGTGAACGAGGCCACGGGCGCCATGCCTCTACTGCACTTGGCTGTCTCGCCACCACTGCCGTTTCTTCACCTTGAGCCGTCTCTTCCATGCTTTCTCTGCCATCCTTTCTCTGCCACGCTTTCTCTCCTGCTCTCTCCTCGCCACGGTGTTCTGCCACCATTACCCCGTCCCAAATCCCCCCCCCCCCGTCTCTCCTGCCCATCGCCCTGCCCCCTGCCAGCGGTGCATGAGCTGAAACCAGTGGGCAAGGCGGCCATAGGGGGGCCCTTCGCTCTGGTGGACGACAAGGGCCGGCCGTTCACGGAGGCGGCGCTCAAGGGGAAGTGGAGCCTGCTGTACTTCGGGTTCACCTTCTGCCCGGACATCTGCCCTAGCGAGCTCATCAAGATCGCCGAGGCCGTCAACCTCGTGGGTGCGTGCAGTGTGCATCGAGGCACGGCCTTCCCTGCCAGTGAAGCCAGTTGTCGGCCCTCCATGGTGCTCCGTTTCCCCCGTGCTTCCATTCTCCATGCTCTTCCATCGCTCCTTGTACCCTCTCTTGCCACCCCCCCCTCCCCACCTTCCCCCTGCCCGCCCCGCGAGCAGAGAAGCAGGTGGGCGTGGCGGTGGTGCCGGTGTTCATCTCGGTGGACCCCGAGCGGGACACGGTGGAGCAGGTCCGCGAGTATGTCAAAGGTCAGCGTCCATGCACCGTGCCACCCGCTCACACCATTCAATTCAACCACTGCGGGCATGCCTTGCACTTTGGATTTCCCTGTTATGGTGCATTGCTTTGCCATGTACGGAACGCACTCCCCATGCATCTTCTTGCCGTATTATCGCTCCACACGCCCTCACAATCCGGGTTTCTCCCCTGCACTCTCAACCCCACTGCAGAGTTCCACCCGAGAATGGTTGGCCTCACAGGCACGCCGGAACAGGTGGGTAGCTTTGGGATGCTCGGGTATGCTTATGAGCTGCGGCATGCAGTCCGCTTTATCTAGAGTGGTACCTCATCTGCCTCCCTTCCCGTGCATGGGTGGGCGGCAGGTGAAGGCGGCGGCGCGTGCCTTTAGGGTGTACTACATGAAGACGGAGGAGGAGGGCTACGACTACCTCGTGGACCACTCCATCATCTCGTCAGTGCACCATGCTCCACTGTCATGCCTTTGCGCGCCTGCTTGGTTTTTGTCTCATATGCCCCACTGCCGCTCCGCCACTCGCTTCTGGGCACATTTCCTCCCTCCACCCCCTATTGGCTCTCCCCTCCCCCCTTCTCCCCTCTGTCAGCTACCTGATGAGTCCCGAGTTTGAGTTTGTGAAGTTCTTTGGGCGCAACCACACGGCGGAGGGGCTGGCAGATGGCATCGCGGGGGAGATCAAGAGCCACGGCAAGTAGGCTGTGCCAAACAGTGCAGGGCGGAGGGCAGGACTGAGGCGCAGGTTCACGTCAAGTAGACTGTAGCCACCAGAGAAACTCCTCCATCTGGTTGATTGCAGCGCACGGCCACACACTTTCCTGGGCAGAGCAGTGCCCTATATGTCGGCACATGCTTCATAACAATGCCAGCTGGAATATCTGCAATGGCTTTTGAATTAGTCACTGCCAAAGCGGCATCCAGCCAGCCTATTCAGTGCAAGGGACGTCAGAGCCAGCCTATTCTGTGCAAGGGACGTCAGAGCCAGCCTGTTCTGTGCAAGGGACGTCAGAGCCAGCCTGTTCTGCGCAAGGGACGTCAAAGCTCGTCCTTCACCTCCGCTGCTGCCTGCGCTGCCTCCTCCCTGCGTGCAGCCTCGTACTCCGCCCCCTCCTCCTGCACCTCTTCCTCCAGCCCCTCGGGCAATGCCGTGCCGCCGTGCTCTCGCAGCGTGCGCACCATGTGCCGCCAGCGCACCAGCCGATCCTGCACCGCCACCTGGGGGGGCAGGGGGGGCAGGGAGGGCAGGGGGGGCAGGGGGGGCAGGGGGGATGGGGGGTGAGTGGAGACACACGCGACAGGGTGGGGTGAGGGGTCGCACGGAGGGGCTGGGTGGGGAGGGAGTTGCGTGCAGGGAAGATGCTGCTGGCAGGGAAGATGCTGCTGGCAGGGAAGACGGTGCTGGCAGGCGAGTCGAGTCATGGGCAGGTGAGTAGTGCGAGCACAATGGCAATGGGAAGGGCACAGAGGGATGCGGCTCACCGGGTGCGACTTGTTGTGTGCGCGGTACAGCAGCACCGTTGGGAATGCCTCCAGCTGGCGGGGGGGGGGGGGGGGGATAGGAGAGGAAGCTAGTGACACGGCTTGGCATTGGCATGCCATTACGAGTGGCCACCATACCATGTGCATGTATAGCCATCAAGGCATGATTGGGTCGTTAGTGGCATGCCGGGGAACCAGAGGCACTAGGGTGCATGCGTGCACGACGGACCTCGAGGCCGGGCACCTCGTTGGAGGCGAAGTCCATGTGGGCGAAGAGCAGCGGCGGCACGGCGCTCAGGCGCAGCGCCAGACGTGTGAAGCATGGCAGCAGGGCCTCACACGACGGACACTCGTCCCCGTAGCTCAACTGCAGGGGGGATGGGGGGGGGACAAGAAGGGGGCAGGGGGAGTTGGAGGAGGGGCGATAGGGTGTGAGGCTGGAGAGGGCGCATGGAGGGCGCGGAGGGCTGGCGACACTGCAATGGAGCATGAGAGGCAGGTATTCACAGCTCAGGGAGATTCACCAAGGAGAAACAACGCTGTGAGGTAGAGGAAGAGGGCACAGCGAAGAGTCGGCGCTGCTGCAAGAGTGGGTCCATGCGCGTGGTAGCGGGCATGGGTGAGAGGCGGCTGACCATGAGCATGACGTCCCTGGCCTCGTCCATGACTATGTCGTCAAACGTCCTGCCCACCACGGTGCGCACCACTCCATCGTTCTGATGGCGCACACAAGCGAGGGCGACAGGGAGCAAGACAACACTGAGGCGCAGCATGCTCACTCCACGCCATGCATTTACTCTATGGCATGCATTTACTCCATGTCGTGCATTTACTCCATGCCATGCATTTACTCCATGCCATGCATTTACTCCATGCCATGCATTTACTCCATGCCATGCATTTAATCCATGCCATGCATTTACTCCATGCCATGCATTTACTCCATGCCGTGCATTTACTCCATGCCATGCATTTACTCCATGCCATGCATTTACTCCATGGCATGCATTTACTCCATGGCATGCATTTACTCCATGGCATGCATTTACTCCATGGCATGCATTTACTCCATGCCATGCAGTTACTCCATGGCATGCATTTACTCCATGGCATGCATTTACTCCATGCCATGCATTTAATCCATGCCATGCATTTACTCCATGCCATGCATTTACTCCATGCCATGCAGTTACTCCATGGCATGCATTTACTCCATGGCATGCATTTACTCCATGGCATGCATTTACTCCATGGCATGCATTTACTCCATGCCATGCATTTAATCCATGCCATGCATTTACTCCATGCCATGCATTTACTCCATGCCATGCATTTACTCCATGGCATGCATTTACTCCATGGCATGCATTTACTCCATGGCATGCATTTACTCCATGCCATGCAGTTACTCCATGGCATGCATTTACTCCATGGCATGCATTTAATCCATGTCATGCATTTAATCCATGCCATGCATTTACTCCATGCCATGCATTTACTCCATGCCATGCAGTTACTCCATGGCATGCATTTACTCCATGGCATGCATTTACTCCATGGCATGCATTTACTCCATGCCATGCATTTACTCCATGCCATGCATTTAATCCATGCCATGCATTTACTCCATGCCATGCATTTACTCCATGGCACAACAGTTGGACGAATTCGTCCACGGGTGAAGGCCTACAGAGGCAGCACAACCCAACTATCCCACTCTCAGCCCCACTCTGCCGTCCCTGCCCCACGCCCTCCTCCCTACATCCCTCCACGCACCCACGTGCGGGCGCGCCCGCGGCCCACCTTGGCAGGGACGGGGTCGGACTTGTAGTAGGGGGGCAGCTCGCCCGCCAGAAAAGCCGTGATGAACGCCTGGTGGGCGGCAGGGGGGGGGGGGGGGGTCATTGAACGGGCAGAGGGAAGAGAGGAGGACGTGTGGGGCAAGAGACAAAAGAGAGGGCGTGGGAAGGGAGGAATTAGAATAGAGGGCAGAGGTTGCATGGCAGTTGCATTGCATGGGGTGACGCAACAGCATGTGCAGGGCGCAACAGCATGTGCAGGGCGCAACAGCATGTGCAGGGCGCAACAGCATGTGCAGGGCGCAACAGCATGTGCAGGGCGCAACAGCATGTGCAGGGCGCAACAGCATGTGCAGGGCGCAACAGCATGTGCAGGGCGCAACAGCATGTGCAGGGCGCAACAGCATGTGCAGGGCGCAACAGCATGTGCAGGGCGCAACAGCATGTGCAGGGCGCAACAGCATGTGCAGGGCGCAACAGCATGTGCAGGGCGCAACAGCATGTGCAGGGCGCAACAGCATGTGCAGGGCGCAACAGCATGTGCAGGGCGCATCAGAGCTGTCGCACCTGCATGTTGGCGCACCTGCATGTTGGCGCAACTGCATGTTGGCGCACCTGCATGTTGGCGCAACTGCATGTTGGCGCACCTGCATGTTGGCGCAACTGCATGTTGGCGCACCTGCATGTTGGCGCACCTGCATGTTGGCGCACCTGCATGTTGGCGGGGGTGGGGTCCTCTGTGAGGCGGTGCTTGGACTCCTGGGGTTCGCCCTGCGTGGTGTCCGTGAACACAGCAATGACAGCTGTCTCGTCCACGCGTACACCAAAGTAGTCCATGGGGATCCCCGATGCGTCCTCGTCGCTGGAGTCTACCAGCGCAAAGTGCACCTGGGGGGGGGGGGAGGCCAGGGCAGCATGCAGGCGCGGGGATGAGGTGTGAGCGCATGACAGTCCCAAAGGCCACCTGCAAATACCACCCGTGCATGCTACCCCTTGGACCAGCAAGGAAGCAAACACTAGGGAGCCCAGCGGGGCGGGGAGCTGACCTTGCCCTTGTGCTGTCGGGCCAGCGGTGCCAGTGACTGCTCAAAGTGAGAGAAGGCGGCACGCGGGCAGAAGATGACGATCTGCCGGGCCATGTGGAGAGACAGGGCCGGGTGAGGGGTAGGATTGGACTAGCAGCGTTGTACATGGGAAGAGATGGCCACATGGCTGGCAGCCCATCAAAGGAAATCAGTTCGTCGTCCCATTCACGTGCCATGTGCTCCCATCCCCAGCCCACCCGCTCACATGCCACTTGGTGTGTTTGCCAAACTGCTCCACGGCATCGTCATCGAAGTGGACAAACAGCGGCAGCCTGTTTTTGCGCACAAACGCCGCCACGGCCTCGCGCGTGAAAGGACCCTCTGAGGCAGGGGAGCCGGGACAGATGGAGGGGAAGGAAGCGAAGGGGAGGGCGATGGGTGGAGTGAGGCGACTTGGCAGTGCAGTGCGAGCTCCAAGGGGGCTGAGCGAGGTGCGTGTGATAGTAGAGGGGACTGGCGGCAGGGACGAGCAGTGGTGGTGGCGTTAATGCAGCGGCGAACGGCAGTGAGGCGAGGCACTCACCGTGCGGCACGAAGGCGTCCTGCTGGCGCTTGAGCACCGCCACCACCGCCTCCTCCCGGCCTGTGCGCGCCAGCGCAGCAGCGGCGTCGCCCTGCCACCCCAGGGCGGCCGCCACAGCAGCGTGCATGGTGAGGGCGAAGCGCACCCCGTCCACGTCCTTGGACGCATCTTTGAAGGCGGCTGCCGCTGGGCCCTTGGGGGGCGGGGCGAGAGGGGGAGGCGCAGGGGAGGGCGAGGCGGATGCAGCGGAGGGGAAGAGGACGAGGCACGGGCATGGAAGTCAACGGCACCTGCTGGCCCCACTCACGCGGGACCGGTGAGGCCAGTGACTCACAGCAGCACTGGCTGCACCTGCGTGTCGTGCACTGGGCGCACCTGCGTGTCGTGCACTGGGCGCACCTGCGTGTCGTGCACTGGGCGCACCTGCGTGTCGTGCACTGGGCGCACCTGCGTGTCATGCACTGGGCGCACCTGCATGTCGTGCACGAGGGCGAGTGCAAGGGCAGTGGCAGACGAGTCTTTGAGCAGCGAGGAGAGCGTGGGGAGGCGCGAGGGCGAGGAGGGGTCCATGTGGATGGTGGTGACGCTGCTGCCCGCCTTGCGAGTCACCCACGCCACTATGTCGTCGCTGGGGGGGTGCCACGCATGCAGTGACGCGGAGGGTGAGCAGTGCAGCACGTGGAACCATATTGGCCACACACAGGGATGGCAGAAGCATGGCCCTTTGAATATCCATTCTCCCAGTGCCTCCTTCATCCCCCTTCTTCTCCATCACCCCCCCTCTCTCCCTCGCTGGCACCGATCTACTCCCCCCACTGCGACCCCCCACCTGCTGAACTCGTCGCACGCCTGCAATCGCCCTCTCTCCGCCCACAGGTACAGCGGCACCTCGCCGTCGCCCGCAGTCCCCTCCGCCTCCGCCCGCCGCCGCACGAGCGCGTGCCTCCCCGCGTCCACCTTGCCCACCAGCACCGCCTCGCCCGCCGCCTTCAGGCCCGCCGCCGCCCTGCGCAGCTGGGCGAGGGGTGCGGGGAGCGAGGGGCGCGGGATGCGAGTAGGGTTGGAGCCGTGGACGGGAAGCGTGTGGGGGGGTTCCGCCGAGCATGGATGGAAGGGACAATATGCGGGCAGCTGTGAGCGCACCGCCAGGCACCGGGAGGTGCAGCGCGAGGCATCCGGAGGTGCAGCGCGAGGCATCCGGAGGTGCAGCGCGCCTTCACTGCCGTGCGGGGTCACTGCCGTGCGGTCTCACGGCTCGTGGCTCTCCGCCATCGCTGCCTCTGTGGAGAGTACGGACTTGCCTGGACCATGTATCTCTTGGACCGCTCGCACGAGCTGTTGTACAGCAGCGCGAGAACGTACTCGCGCTGCAGAAGGGCGTCGTCAAACGCGGCGTCACTCAAATCCACAATGTCGCCATCGTCGCCGTCTGCGATGCCCGGCAGCTGGGGAGCGCCATCCTCGCCGGCACGCGCAGCGCTCCCTTGGTCCTCTGCGGTGGGAGCAGCGGACCAAATGCTGGCGAGGATAAGCAGGGCGAGAAGAAGAGTGGCGGCATTCGCAGCCATGGCGATCTTGTGCGCTCAATGGGATGCGGATGGGAAAGGATGATGGAAACACGTACAAATTCGGGCAAGTGAGAGCTGCAGGTAGAGTGACGGCTGAGTTCTTCAGGCATTTGACGTTGACGTCGACGTCGACATTGAGGAAGCTCCGCAAGTGACTCCACATCAGTATTTATAACACATCAATTCCAACGAAATGAAGCAAGAAATTGCTGTACAGTTCCTATACCTCATTTTTTCTAATACTGAAATTCGTCTTTGGCAAAGCAGATCTAAATATCCCCACTAGCCTGAATAGGAGAACCAGCATATGATGCAAATATAATGGCAGCTTCCATTGTCGTTATAAAAGGGTGCAAATTTTCTTACATTCCACCTTTGGAAACATTTTTTGTGTGTCCGCATCGCTGTATTGCCGTCAGCTAAAACGTGGATCGGTGAAGATCCCTTCCCTATGCTTGCGAGCACCAAGTGATTTCAGCTGAGGACCTTTTGGACAACCTCAAGGGCTCCCCCCCTGCAGATTTCAACTAGCTGCTTGCAGTTCCAACTTCCAAGTCGACAGAGATTCTGTTTTCCCACGCAGACTACTCCAGGCTCAAGTTATCGCCTCTGGTGGTTATTGGCTTTCTGGCGCCGGAATATCGCAGTGTGAATCGATAGTGTTTCATCGTCGCAATGGGGGTGAGGATCATTCATTTTTTGGAAAAGGTTATCGTTGGGTATTCTTGTTGACTAATCTCTCCTACTCGTTGCAGATCTCTGTAAAGGTGACGGGAATCACAGACAAGGCGGCACTTCAAGACATTTACGATTTCTTCTCGTTTTCCGGACCCATTCAAAGCATTAATCTTGAGAAAGAGTATGTGTCAACACGACAAATCAGAGATCTTCGGTACTATTATCAGTGGCCCAACACAAGTGAGCTTTCTAACGTCATCATTCAGAAGAGACTTATTATCTCCACCGTGCGCCTTCGTTCTGTTCTTGACGTTGGCAGTGCGGAGGGCGACGTGCAGACAGCTCACGTGTCATTTTCTGAACAGAAGTCGATGGAGACTGCTCTCTTACTTACGGTAAGATTCCACCTCCCTCGCTTCCTTCGTCGTCGAATTCGCTTTCCGCATTTTGCGATCCGTCATGATAATGCGCGTTGATGACGTCCGTTGTTTCGTTGACCGGTGTTTCAACTCATTGTGTCAGGGTGCCATGATCTTGGACAAGGTAGTAATCGTGGAGCCAGCAACAGACTACGAACCTCCCAGCACGGCAAAGTTTTATGATACAACGAAGGGAGAGGGGAAGGTAGGCGCTTAGTCCATTCGCATTCACGCAGGCATACGATGAAGAGCGAGAGGGAGTCGCATATGACCTTCATTTTGGAAAGTGAGAACAAAAATTACAAACATTGTCCTTCTAACATTTCAGGAGACTCCAAGCAGCCCAGCTACCAACATTGCTTCAGCAGCTCAAGAGATGGTTCGCTCTCTCTTATCTCGAGGATACACCCTTGCTCAAGATGCCATGCAGCGCGCTCGTGATCTGGATGCAAGGCTGGCGTTCTCTAGCTCTGCTGCGGCAGGCACCGCTGCCATTCGAGATGGCATCGTTGCCCTCCCAGCCACAATCTCTGAAGGAGCCAAAACCGTGGGCACTAATGTGACAGAAGGAGCCAAGGTGGTGGGCTCTACAGTGGCAGAGGGTGCAAAGGCAGTTGGGTCAACAGTTTCAGAGGGAGCTAAAGTTGTTGGATCAAGCGTTGCAGCCACTGCGGATACGATTGACAAGAAGCTTTACATCTCACAGAGTTTCAAAGCGGGGACAGGAGCCTTGGCCAAGTCCCTGAGTGTCGTTGATGAGAAGCTGCATCTGTCTGAGACCACGAGAGGGGCGTTTGTGGCTGCAGAGACAAAGCTCAACGAGGCTGGAGAGATTCTGGTGCAGAACAAGCTCATTGCTTCCAGCAAGGACTTCGTGATGGGCGTCACTTCCAAAATATCAAATATGGTTGAAGGGGAGGCGAAGCCACCTGCAGATGCTACTTCTCCTGCCGAGGAAAGCAAGGATGGGGTTGAAGCAGCCAAGCAGGCTGAGCCCAAAACTGAGGGAGCAACTGCCAAAGAAGCTGTAGCTGAGGCTCCTCAAGCTGCATCACCTGTCGATGCTGGAGCAGATAAGGCAGCTGAAGGGACCAAGACAGCGACAGATGCACCTGCACCGGCTAGTAAGTCGAAGGAAGAGGATACCCCTGTGTTCTGATCGCGCCCTAGTTTAATTGTGCAGTACCATCATGCTCATGGACAATTCACAGTTACCGGTTGGGTGTATACACCACAGGTGAAAACAGTGCATTGAATACAATGTGCCTGTTTACTGAAGACAAGCCAATATTTTCGACTTCATAATATGTCATGAGAGAGAAAACTGGGAAGGGAGACCCCTGCACTACAATCCACCTTGCTCCTGGAATGATGACAATGACGCATCTAACTTTTCTGCAATGCTCCCAAGCCACACCTGCAATCAACAGGAGGATGAAAGCACCATCACAGATAGAAAGACATGGCCAGGAGATGCTGGGAAAGGTTGCAAAGCATGGGAGGTAGGCTGGCGGGCAACATGGTTGCCGGCAGGCAGCATGGTTGCATGGTTGCAGGCAGGCTGATGCTGAGGTGGAAACACACCTGATGGAGAGGTGTGAAGCCTCTGATCGTGTCACTGCCCATAACGATCACCCCATCTCCATCCCCTACAGGCTGAACTATAGCTGCCTGCAATACATGTTATTTGCATGGATGAAGCAAAGTAAAATGAGCCACATGCCAGCAAACCAAGGCCACAAAGGGAGAAGGAACAGCAAGAATTCACCTGGGTGTTGTCCGGAAGGAACTGGAAGAGCTCGTATCTTGCTGGGAACAGAATGAGGTTAGCTAGATAATTTGCTGCTCAAGGAAGAGATGAGAGAAATTAGGCTTCCAGAAAATAGTGAACATGAAACGCAGGGAACCATTTAAGCACATCGTTTGCACCCCCTTTCACGCAAACATACACCGTCCAGACTTGAGAGCTGTGGAGCAGATGGAGCCCGAGAGAATCTTCTCAGCGTCCACAGCAGCAGCAGCGGCATCAACAGTGGTGGTGGCACTGGGCATGCTGGGCACTGGAGCCATGCAGCCTGCTTGCAGAATACACTGCCCCTTGAAGATGAGCACTAGGGAGCGGCAGGGGGTGTTAAAACTGAGAGATTCCCACGCCCTGAGAAGGGAGGCAGTGGGACGAACCACAGGAGGTGACAATGACAGCCACTGTGGGATGAGGCCAAGGGGAATAGGTGGGGCCGGAGAAACTGAGAGCGCTTGCAAGCACTAGACCAAGACTTGAAAGACGAAGAGGAGGGAGTGCGCACGTGCCAGTTGAGCTCTTGCTGAATGGGTCGAGGCAGGGACGGCAGGATGCGGTGGCAGGGGACGCCATTGAGGGGCACCTGAAGGCACGTCAGGACGGGGTGCACTGCAGGTCAAGTGGAGTGGGGGGTCGCACCAGACGGTTCTTGGCGTAGAAAGCCCAATATTGTTTGGGCCTTAATAACATTTGCAGGATGGGTTGGGCCATACCGGTGTCTGTGGTTTGGGTCTCAGCGCCAGCCATGACAGCCCCGACAGCACCAGAGACGCCGCCAGGACAAGGCAGATGACGTCAGCACGGGCCTGCGCGCTGGCAGAGAAGCGGAGGGCGAAGGAAGGGGAGCGGGTGGATGGTGAGCGGTGAGGGGAGGATTGGGCGGGGATGCGGCAGCCCAGGGCGCGTCAAGGTCCCATGGACGGGCGGCGCATGGCATCAGCGGAGCGCGTCTCTCACCTGCCCGCGTCGGCGACGGCGGGGATGCCCCACACCACGCGGTTCACCAGCACCACCGCTCCGCCTGCCGCGCCCGCTGCGAGCGGCAGCAGCCTGAGCGCGTCCGCATGCCGCGCCACCCAGTCGTCCGCGCCAGCCGCTGGCGACGACGGCCCCTTCTGACTGGCGGAGCAGCGCACGCGATGCCCCTGACCTCGTCGGCTCACTTGCAGTGGGATGTGATTGCGACATCTTGCCAGCGTGCTTTCTCCCAGACGATATTCTACCGCGCCGTTGACTATTTTACGAGGGAGGAGCACAGAAGACGGACGATGCAACGCGTCTCTATGAGTGAATAGTGAGGGTCGAGGCGCATTACTTGCAAGTAACGGCCGCATGTGAAGCTCCATTATGGACATGGTGACTGGTTCGGAAATTAGGCGCAGAGGGGTTGTGAGAGGCAAAGTCATTTCAACGCATGGGATGTGATTTTATGGGATAACGAATCAGAACACTGTACAGTTTCAGAATACGTATCAGGTTCCTGAAGAACATGTTTATCGTTTCCGCAATTCTCACTGTATCGAATAAATCGGCCCTGCTAATTGTTCCCTGCGAGCGTTTGTTGGGCGCCACGTCAATTGAAGGCCATCAACCAATCAGACTGGGCGATCTGACCCTCCAGAAGCCAGGCGGGAAACAATTCCCCAGGCTCCTCCTGGTTGAAAGTGAGAAAGCTGGTAACCGCTAGCCGTCGCAATTTCTTCTAGAACGTCCAAGATTGTCTCCTCACTCCACGTCCTGCCAATCGCGAGCGACGTGCTGCATGCGAACCGGCATTGACCGACCTTCTGGACGTCGTCGCAGTGCTGCTGATGTTGTCAGTCGAGAGCCTCGCCTCATCCAAAAGCAGCGGATTCTCCCTGCTTTTCTCCGTCCTTCTCATCAACCTTCAGCCTCACTCCGTTCCCCACATCTCTTGAACGGATCTCCACAGGATCCAGCTGCTTCTGTAGCCTCTTTGCTCGGGTTGCCACCTTAGGAATGGCTCCGCGGAGCTGCCTCGTGGCGCTCCTCGCATTCCTCCTTGTATTCCAGACGCTCTCAGGTAATTTCAGGTTTAACATTGGCTATGTCTCGCGTAAAATGTTGTTCTCCGCGGTTGTAAGCTAAACACACAAGGCGTTTTCCTTTTCCGTTGCAGTTTCACCGCAGGTGCAGGCCGAGGAGACGAAGGACGTGGGCACCAATGGCGATCTTCCCAAGGTCGAGGAGCCGATCGGAGCTGTTCCGACTGGATCGACCACAGACACCCAAACCCAGGAGAGGTAGGCATGCTCGAACCGTCCTTCAACATCTCCACACCTCATCCTGCCGCCTCTTTCTTCAGCACTTGCATTTGCGTCCATGCCGTGCTGACATGCCACGTATTGGCGGTGCGGCAGGGAGCGGAGTTCGATGCGGCGGTCGGGCGAGAAGTTTGCGTTCCAGGCGGAGGTGCACCGGCTGATGGACATCATCATCAACTCGCTCTACAGCAACAAGGACGTCTTCCTGCGCGAGCTCATCTCCAACGCCTCCGATGTCAGTGCCACCACCCGCCGCAGATCGCGTGTCAATGTGCCCTTTTCAGATGAGCGATGTGGCACTGTACTTTTGCGTTGCTTGCCAATCCACATATCTATCGTTTTTACTGTCGGGAGTGAATTGAACATGGAAATTGGCGAATAATGTCGCCATCTCTCCTCTATCCCTCGTGTTTGCCGTCCTTGATTCGTGCGTCCAGGCGCTGGATAAGATCCGCTTCCTCTCGCTCACCGACAAGTCCATCCTGGGCGAAGGCGACAACACCAAGCTCGAGATCCAGGTGCTACTCCCTCTCACCTGTGTTGCACACTCCCTATTCTGCTCTTGTCTCTGGTTATTATCGATTTGTCGCCATTACTCTCCCGCTCACCGCTGTTGGCGTGCGTGTGCGTGTGCGTGTGGGCTGCGGGGGCGCAGATCAAGCTGGACAAGGAGCGCAAGGTGCTGTCGATCCGCGACCGCGGCATAGGCATGACCAAGGACGACCTCATCAAGAACCTCGGCACCATCGCCAAGTCGGGCACGTCAGGTGAGGCGGCACTGGCTGTCGTCCGAGGTGAGTGACTCTGTGCTGGGGTAGTCGTGCGCGCAATGTGAACCCACCAGACATGGTGGCTCGATCCGAATGCATGAGGCATTGCGCGACAATGCATGCAGCATCAGATCAAGTGTGAATTTTGACCCCTCGTCCTACCCAATGGCCCTTCATTCTCCGCGCGCCCCCCACGCGTCGCTGGCCCCGCAGCGTTCCTGGAGCGGATGCAGAAGAGCGGCGACATCAACCTGATCGGGCAGTTCGGCGTGGGGTTCTACTCGGTGTACCTGGTGGGCGACCGCGTGGAGGTGCGCAGCAAGCACAACGACGACAGCGCGTGGGTGTGGGCCAGCAGCGCGGACGGCAACTTCGAGGTGTACCCCGACGACGATGAGGCGGACGAGGCGCTGGGGCGCGGCACGGAGATCCGCATCCACCTCAAGGACGAGGCCAGCGAGTACCTCTCCGAGGACAAGCTCAAGGTGACACAGGGGGGGGGGGAGGCCACTGTACCCGCTACTAGCTTGACTCAAGAACGAGGACGAGAATTTGGGCTCACGTACAAACGAAACGGACCACGGGACTGACAGCTGTGGTGCTGATTTTCCCTTGTGCGTTGGCGCGCTCTCGCTGTGCGTTTGGCCCCTGCTTGAGCCGGCAGGAGCTGGTGAAGAAGTACTCGCAGTTCATCAACTTCCCCATCTACATGTGGGGCAGCCGCGAGGTGGACGAGGAGGTGCCGGTGGAGGAGGAGGAGGAGGTGGAGAAGGAGGAGGAGAAAGAGGACAAGGACAAGGAGGACACCGAGTCGGACGAAGGTGTGTGCCGCGAGACCAGATGTTCGTTGTGCCTTTGATAGCAGGATCATGTTAAAATGCCGTAGGAAGGACTTCATCCCGATGAATATCTGGCGGCTGTTGAGAGAAACAACCAATTCTCACCGTATCTCTTCCGACGTGTGCTTGCTGTGTCGCGTGGGCTGGGGTGTTGGGCTGGGCCATGGATTGCGGCATCGTGTGGGTGTTGGGCTGGGCCATGGCAGAGGACGACAAGGACAGCGAGGACGAGGCGGAGGAGGAAGAGGAGGACGACAAGAAGGAGAAGAGTGAGTCTCGGCCCTCCTTGAACCATCCTCGCATTCGCAGCTTGCGTCAGCGCGCTGTGCTTTCCAGGTCCGCTCCTCCCTCTCTCCCGTCCTAACTCGCGCCTCACCCCCCTGGCGTGCTGCTGCTGTGCGGCGCAGAGCGCAAGACGCGCGTGGAGAAGCGCACCAAGTGGGAGTGGGAGCTGCTGAACAGCGTGAAGGCCATCTGGCTGCGCAGCCCCAAGGACGTCACCGACGACGAGTATCGCGAGTTCTACAAGTCGCTCGCCAAGGTAACCCCAAACCCACTCTCCTCCCGCCTGCCGCCGTCCGCCCGTTGCCTGCCACCCACCTCCCGTTGCCTGCCACTTGCTGCAGTCGCTCGTGCCACGCCGCATCCCCTGCTCGTTATCCCTTCCTCCTCATCCCCTGCTCGTTACCCCTTCCTCCTCATGCCCTGCTCCCACCTGCTGTCCACCCTCATCCTCCTCCCCCCCCCCACCGCCCCCCCTGCCCCCTCTACCAGGACTACAGCACGGACAAGCCGCTGGCGTGGACGCACTTCTCGGCGGAGGGCGACGTGGAGTTCAAGGCGGTGCTCTTCATCCCGCCGCGCGCCGCCTATGACATGTATGACAACTACTACGCCAACAAGGCGGCGCTGAAGCTCTACGTGCGGCGCGTGTTCATCAGCGAGGAGTTCGAGGAGCTGCTGCCCAAGTACCTCAACTTCCTCAAGGTATCAGCCCCTCCCCACCGCTCCACATTTTCCCAGTGTTTTCCTCTCAACCTCCTCACTCGCTGCTGTGCTCACTCACTGTTCACCCCTTCTGAGTTCCCTGTCGCCTGTTACCGGTCCCGCACATGCGCACAACCTGTTGCTGTTCGGCGCGCATTCTGTCATCCATCCGCTCATCCCTCCTCTCCCCATCTTCCAAGCTCACCTCCTCCTCCGCTCCCCCCATCCACGCGTGTGCGCATGCACGTGCGTGTGTGCCCGCAGGGTCTGGTGGACTCGGACTCGCTGCCGCTGAACGTGTCGCGCGAGATGCTGCAGGCGCACAGCAGCCTCAAGACGATCCGCAAGAAGCTTGTGCGCAAGGCGCTCGACATGATCCGCCGCCTGGCAGAGGACGAGGAGGACGCCAAGGCCAAGGCGCAGGAGCAGAGGGAGAAGGACGGCAGCCCCAAGGACGGTCAGTGCCCCACCCGCTTCTCCTGCCCCCTCTGTACTGCGCCCTGCCACTTGTTCCCCCCATCCCTCGTGCATTCTGCGTCTCCTGCTGCTGCACCACATTTCGCTCCTCCCTCACCCCACTCCCCCTCCGCCGCCCCCCCTGCTCCTATGACCCGTGGCAGGCGAGGAGGTGGTGCCGTCGGACGCGGAGACGCAGTACGAGGACTTCTGGCGCGAGTTCGGGCGCGCCATGAAGCTGGGCGTCATCGAGGACTCGTCCAACCGCATGCGCCTCGCCAAGCTGCTGCGCTTCAAGAGGTGCGCGCGCGCTCACTAGGAGGGGTGGGACAAACCAGGCTGGGGGTTCAAACGGGCAGGGTGTGGGCGTGGTGTACGAGCTTTGTGAGGTGACCGACAACCAGCAGTTGGCTGCAGGGGGAGAGACAGTGCTATGGGGTCAGGGCATGTTGGCAAGGTGGGAGGTGTGAACAAGAAAGGGCGTCTCCCAGCCTGCTGCTAAGCATGAGACTTGGAAGATTTGAGTGAATGGTAGCACCTTTCCGCCTACAGTTCTGGTGGTACACGCAACAAGTTGGGGAACAGAATGTCAACCTCTGGCTCTTGCTCCGCGTGCTCTCCCCGGAACCTGCCCACCCGCTGAGTTTCGCCTTACCCCATTCCTCGCCAACACACAATCTCAACTGCACATGTCTCCCCGTCCCTCCTCCCGCCCCTCCCACCTGTCCCCCCCCTTGGCCAGCTCGAACGACCCTGAGAAGCTGACGAGTCTGGAGCAGTACGTGGCGCGCATGAAGCCCGGGCAGAAGGCCATCTACTATGTCACGGGGCCCAACCGCGAGCAGCTGGAGCGGTCGCCCTTCATTGAGAAGCTGCTGAAGAAGGGGCTGGAGGTGCTCTTCCTCACGGAGCCCGTGGACGAGTACCTCATGCAGAACCTCACCGACTTTGACGACAAGAAGTTCCAGAACGCGTCTAAGGAGGACCTCAAGATCGGCGGCAAGAAGAGCAAGGAGCGCGAGAAGGAGATGAAGGAGAGCTTCAAGGACCTGCTGGCGTGGTGGAAGGAGCAGCTGGGGTCCAAGGAGGTGGAGGCGGTGAAGCTGAGCGAGCGGCTGGCGTCGTCGCCGTGCGTGGTGGTGACGAGCAAGTACGGGTGGAGCGCCAACATGGAGCGCATCATGACCAGCCAGGCGCTCGGCGACCCCACCAGGCAGTCCTACCTCAAGGGCAGGAAGATCCTTGAGGTCAACCCCAGGCACCCCATCGTCCGCCAGCTCAGGGACCTTGTCGCCGCCGACCCCAAGGTAGGGACGGGCCAAGATGGGGCCAGCTACAACTCGATACTACTTTTTGGGGCCCGGCAACACACTTCTGATCCTCCCATACCCTCCATTTTCCCCCTCCCGCCTCCCTGTGTGATTGTGTGCGGTGCAGGATGAGAGTGCGACGGCGGTGGCGTCGACGCTGTACGAGACTGCGCTGATCGAGTCGGGGTTCTCCCTTGAGGACCCCTCCAAGTTCGCAGCGCGCATCTTCACGGTGCTCAAGAGCAACCTCAACATCGATCCCACCGCGGACGTGGAGGAGGAGGTGGACGAGGAGGAGACTGAGGAGAGCAGCTCTGAGACCAAGGTACGACGCCACAGGATGGTGGAGTGGCTAGACAGGAGTAGCCATGAGAAGCCTCGAAATAATCTTAGCACCAGTGGCAGCTGTTAATCTTGAAGCCTTACCCATGAATCTGTCCTCCCCTCACTGCTTCTTATGCCCCGCATTTTCTTCTCTTCGTTGCTGTTGGGGGTGCGCAGGATGAGGACGAGATTGAGGCAGTGGGATTGGGTGGGGATGATGTTGTTGATGCTGACTCACCGGAAGATGATGCTGATGTGGACAAGGAGGCAGTCGGGAGTGGAGATGCACGTGACTCGCATGATGAGCTGTAGCGAAGCTCACTGGATTGATTCTGTTAGAGAAGCATGCCTTGGTTGAGTGGTGTTCACATTCTAACACCACATAAACCCAACTTGGTACACAGGCCAATCTGAGCAATGAGGTCAAATTTGCATTGATTCTCAGAGTAGAAAAAAGCAACGAGAATGTGGCATACAGGTTGATTTTGTTCTAGTGGTTGAACCCTCTAAGAACATGCACTTATCTAGCCAATTATAACATATACAAATATGTATGACACACACCTAGGCCAACTGGCGGGCAAAGCCTGGCAATCGACACACAGCTTAGGATGGAACTACTAGTCCAGCCTCTGAGGCAAGAGTCTGAAGACCAGTCAGCAAGTGTACAAGCTAAACAAAAGCAACCCAGGACGGTACTACTAGTCCAGCCACAGAGACGAGCCACAAGGCCAGTCAAGAGAATATAAAAGGAGTAGACAATCAGGATCCTCGCAAGTGAGAAACTACACGAACTCGACAAAGCTGTACACAGTGCCGCTGATGATCTTAAGGCGCAAGCGCCTTAGTAAAGTTATCAGCTGTGTTGACACCAGAGGCCAAGTGTACTACGCGGGCCTGGCGGCACTGCTGCATCTCGAGCAGGACGAAGTACCGCAGCTGGATGTGCTTCGCTCTGCCCTCTAGTCGAGGCTCCTGACACAGGAGGATCATGGCCCTGTTTGTCAACTTATACATGTTAGCTGTGTACAAGTTATAGGCTAGACTGGGGTATGCTTCTAGTGAGTACAACCAACTAGTATTTGTTCTAGGTTTCAACATCTAGTTCATTATTCAGTTCTTACTTTGACATGGTATCACGCGTAGGTTAGAATCCCCCACCTACCGCTTCCGCCCGTACCCTAGCTAGGCCCCGACGCTTCCCCAGGGCCCCGTCGCGCCTCCTAGCCCCGTCGCGCCCCCCTAGCCCAGTCGCGCCCCTCCTGAGCCCCGTCGCGCCTCCTAGCCCCGTCGCGCCCCTCGTGGGCCCTGCCGTGCCTCCTAGCCCCGTCGCGCCCCTCCTGGGCCCCGTCGTGCCCCCTCCTGGGCCCCGTTGTGCCTCCTAGCCCCGTCGCGCCCCTCCTGGGCCCCGTCGCGCCTCCTAGCCCCGTCGCGCCCCTCCTGGGCCCCGTCGCGCCTCCTCGCCCCGTCGCGCCCCCCCCTAGCCCCGTCGCGCCGCTCCTGGGCCCCGTCGCGCCTCCTAGCCCCGTCGCGCCCCTCCTGGACCCTGCCGTGCCTCCTAGCCCCGTCGCGCCCCTCCTGGGCCCCGTTGCGCCTCCTAGCCCCGTCGCGCCCCTCCTGGGCCCCGTCGCGCCCGCCAGGCCCCGTCGCGCCCTGCTTGGCCTCGCCGCGCCCGTTTGGCCCCGTCCCGGCCTGCCTGGCCCCGCCGCGCCTGCCTGGCCCCGCCGCGCCTGCCTGGCCTCGCCGCGCCTGCCTGGCCCCGCCGCGCCTCCCTGGCCCCGCCGCGCCTGCCTGGCCCCGCCGCGCCTGCCAGGCCTCGCCGCGCCTGCCTGGCCCCGCCGCGCTTGCCTGGCCACGCCGCGCCTGCCTGGCCCCGCCGCGCCTGCCTGGCCCTGCCGCGCCTGCCTGGCCTCGCCGCGTCTACCTGGCCTCTCCTACTGCTCGCCCGGCCCCTCTTCGTCCCTGCTCGGCATGCCGTGCCACCTCGGGCTCCGTCTACTCTGCTCGCCAGCGCTGGGGCGCCTCGCGGCTGCCGTGCCGGAGAGTGCCGCCGCTGTGTCCCTGCGTCGATGTGTTCCTGTGGAGCTGTGCCGCTGACCCTGCACGATGGCTGACTTCGTGCTCTGACTGGACGCCGAGGGCCATGCGGTTGACTTCGCTGCTTGGCTCTCCGATCTCCACCGCCACCTTACAGGTCAGCGCCAGGATGGCCACTCTTTGGTTGTCCATGTCGATGGCTTGCTCCCCCGCCCCCCCGCACCTGCTCCCCTCCCTGCTGACCCCTCCTCTGATGACCGTGAGACATTCTCTACTGCTGCGCTTGCCTGTGCGGTCTGGGACTCCCGCGATGCAGTCGCTCAGATTGCAATTAGCCACGCCCTCCCTGTGTCTGAGCGCTCGCATTTTTCTATTGTTGAGACAGCCAAAGCTTACTTAGACGCCGTTATTGCTCGCTATTCCACACCCGCGTCAGCTTCTGCTGGCCGCCTGCTCTTCGCGATGCTGTTCCCAGACCTTGCAGCCTTCCCTACCGTCGCAGACTTTGCTACTTACATGCGTGCCATAGAGACCCGCTATCGCACTCCCAGCTCACTGCGCTCCCCCCCCCTCTTTCTGCGACACTCTATTTTATCGCCATGCGCCTGCCAGACCGCCTCGCTAGTGCTTGCGATCACTCCCTTAGCCTCGCTAGTGGTTGGCCCGGCACCTCCGGAGGTAGTGGCCGTGGTGGCGGCCCGCGCAGCTCGGTGTCTACCGGCGGCTCCGGTGTTGTCACTTGCCAGTACCAGCTTCAGACCGGGCCTCTTCGCGGCACTCGGTGCCACCGCCCGCACCCGACCGCCCGCTGTTTTCGCCGCCTTGACGATCTCTTTCGTCGTCGCTTTAGCCCGGCCCCGGACCTCCCCGACTGGCACAGCCTGCTCCGCCAGGGCGTGCCGATCTTTGAGTTAGACATGGATCAGATAGGTGCTGCTTTGCATGCTTTGTATTCTGACGCTTCTAGTGTTGCTGGATCTTATTACCCTGTGTACTCTAGTTTAGGTGTTGCCCCATTGTGTAGCTTAGCCTCCCCTGCTGCGTCAGGCGTAGGACTGCCTCGTTTGCCTAGCCTAGTCTCTGCACCGGCTCCGTTCCCGGCCTCCGCCGATGCTTCGCTGTCCTTCACTCTCGATTCCGGTGCCTCTGCCTGCTTTTTCCGCGACCGTTCCGCGCTCACGCCGCTTGCTACGCCTACTGTTGTCTCTCTCGCTGACCCCTCTGCGGGTCCTGTCGTCGCTCGCAGTTCTACGTCCCTTCCCTGTCCAGCAGTTCCCTCGGGCTCCCTTACATGTCTCCACATTCCCTCGTTCTCCAGGAACCTGGTTGGTGTCGGCTGTCTCCAGGACCTCGGCGTCACCACCACGTTCCCCGGGCACGAGAGGTTCGCTGTCTGTTCTGAGTCTATCTCAGGTTCCCTTATTGCGACGTTCCCCCGGGACCCGGTGTCCGGTCTGTTCACCCTAGACACCGCTTCCCCCCCGGTTGGTGCGTCCTCGCAGGTAGCTGCATCTTGCTCGTGTGGGTCCCTCACTCACCCGTCCCTTCTCTGGCACCACCGCCTAGGTCACCGTGCACTCCCACATCTGCGTCACACATCCCAGCACGGTCTTGTCTTAGGTCTCCTTGCGTCGCTCCCTGCCCTTCCTCCCTCGACTGTGCCACCGTGCACGCCTTGCGTCGAGGGCCGGCTCCGCCGCTCTCCTCACTCCTCCTTGCTGCGCCCTGCTACTGCCCCCCTTCAGACCCTGCACCTGGACGTTTGGGGCCCTGCCCCCGTCCCCAGACCGCAAGGTGAGCGCTACTTCCTTGTTCTCGTCGACGACTAGAGGACAGGCAGTACGAGCTTGCTTTCCTTTCTGAGGCTGCTCCCCATCTCTGCTCCATCCTGTTAGTCCCTGAGGGTGACCCAGACGCCTTCGACATCCCGACCCCTCGCACCTACGCTGAGGCCACCTCGGGACCTTGGGCCTCTCAGTGGATAGCTGCCATGGAGCAGGAGATGGCATCTTGGAGGTCCACCGGCACTTACGTCGACGCAGTTCCCCCGCCTAGGGTGAACGTAGTTGATGGTCGGTGGCTCTTCAAGGTGAAGCGCCCCCCTGGAGAGCCGCTTGTCTTCAAGACGCGCTACGTGGCTAGAGGTTTCAGTCAGCGCGACGAGGTTGAATTCTTCCAGACCTTCGCCCCGACCCCGAAGATGACCACTCTTCGGGCGCTGCTACATGTTGCAGCACAGCGCGACTACGAGCTTCACTCCTTCGACTTCTCTAGTGCCTTTCTTCAGGGAAGCCTACATGAGCAGCTTTACCTGCGCCGACCACAGTGTTTCACTGGTACCTTCCCCCCTGGGACCCAGTGGCTTCTGAGACGCCCAGTCTATGGCCTGCATCAGGCTCCTCGCGAGTGGCACGACATGCTGCGGGCCACGTTAGCAGATCTGCAGTTCTTTCCGTCCTCTGCTGACCCCTCGCTGTTGGTGCGTTCCGGCCAGACTCCGTTCTACATCCTTGTCTACGTAGACGATATGGTCTTCGCTACTGCTGACAGGGACGCACTAGCCTCTGTGAAGGCCAAGCTGCTGAAGAGACACACCTGCACTGACCTTGGAGAGCTGCGTTGCTATCTTGGCCTGCAGATCTCTAGGGACAGAGCAGCACGCACCATCACTCTGACACAGTCACACTTGGTGCGTCAAGTCCTTAAGAGGTTCGGTCTTCAGTTCTCCTCCGCACAGCCCACACCTCTACCTGTAGACCATGGGCTCTCCACTCCCATTCCTGAGGAGCCTATAGAGCCCAGTGGCTCCTACGCAGAGCTGGTGGGTTGCCTCACGTACCTGATGACTTGCACTCGCCCAGATCTCGCATACCTCTCAGCATCCTGGCTCGCTTTGTGGCTACAGGCAGACACCGACCTCAGCACTGGTCAGCCGCGAAGAGGGTTTTGCATTATCTTGCTAGTATATCGGGCATGGGGTTAGTGCTAGGAGGACGCAGGCCAGTGGTCCTTACTGGGCACACAGATGCTCAAACGACTCTGAGACGCTCAGGTCATCGCAGGGCTACTGCTTTAGCCTTGGTTCGGGTGCTATCTCTTGGAGATCCACTCGCTCGTCGTCTGTGGCTTAGTCCAGCTGTGAGGCTGAGATCTACGCTGGTGCCATGGCGGCACAGGAGCTCTGCTGAATGACCTTCTTGCTCACTGACTTAGGTGAGCGGCCTAGCTCTGCCCCGGTCCTGTACGCTGACAACAGGGCCATGATACTCCTGTGTCAGGAGCCTCGGCTTGAGGGCAGAGCAAAGCATATCCAGCTGGGGTACTTCCTCCTGCGCGAGCTACAGCAGCGCCGCCAGGCCCGCGTAGTTCACTTGGCCTCAGGTGCCAACACATCTGATATCTTTACTAAGGCGCTTACGCCTAAAGATCATCACCGGCACTGTGTACGGCTTGGTCTTGTTCCTGTAGCTACTCACCTGTTAGGATCCTGATTGTGTACT